TTGAGGTTAATGTTTACCACCACATTCTTATTTTGCCTTCAGGAACATTCGAGAACAGAGCTACCTAGGATAGGAAGCAAAGAATTTGGGACTTTTTCGAGCAATGTTTCTTCATCTTTTTGGCATCGTGTGGAATGGTCTGTTTCCCACAGAGGACTGTCAGTGGCCGTGCTGGGCGTGGTCTTTAACTCCCACCACCCTGCTGAGGTGGCTAAATCCTCCTTCCTCCCCATCCGCTGAGAATGGCTGTGGTCAGTGGGCCTGGGAGCCCTCCCAGCTGCCCCCGGGCGTCTCACACGATGTTGCCTTGTAGTTCTGATCTGGCTGGGATGAGGTGGGGCCAGGTAGCACAGGCTCGACAGGCGGGACCGGGGCCCAGCCTCGTTCCCACTGGGAAGCACGGATGTGGGGGATCCGCCTCCATTCAAGATCTTGGTCCATGTCTGCCCATCAGCCTTGTCATGGACCTCTGCTGGTCCTTCCAGGGCTCCCGTGCCAGTAACGTTGGGGATAGCATTAGATCTTTCTGTGAGTGACACGGTCACTTTCATGAAATTCAGGGTAAATTGAGAAAAAGTTCTTTGAACGAGTTTTAGATGGTCTTTTTATCTGACTTCATGAACTTGCTGGAATTTGGCAGGTGGCGCCATAGCTCTTGAGCCATCAGCTGCTGCTTCCCGGGTGTGGACCAGCAGAAAGCTGGAATCAGGAGCATAGCTGGAACTGAACCAAGGTCCTGCACTACAAGGTGCGGGTGTTGCAAGCAGGGTCGTGGCCACTAGCCCTAACACCCGCCCCTGTGGCTTATCTCTAAGTGCTTCTGTACCAACCGTTACCCAGCGAGGCAGCACTTTTAAACCTGTTCTCTTAGGCTGAATATGTGTTTTGAGCCCAGGTGGCACCAACAGGTGCCTTTGAGAAAAGAGTGTGCAGTTTCTGGGGCCCCGAACCAAGCCAGGAAAGACGGGAGCACCCCCAGCTTTTGTTGCTGTCAAGCGCTCCTGGCCAGCACCCGTGTTTCCTGCAATGGCTACGAAGTCTCGAGCCAGTTCTGATATTGTGAGGTACTGAGCTCTTTGTTCCGGAACTCACAGGGAAATTGCAAAGCAGAGATGTCTCCAAGTAAGAGGAAAAAATAGTGAGGTTGTGATCCGGGGAACAGATTTTCAGAGCCCGCGTCAGCAGGAGCTGTGTGCTGTTGTGATGGGACGCATGGGGGCGGTATCAGATAGCAGGGTCATCCGAGCGAGGCAGAGCCTGGTCTTGGGACGAGATTCTGCTCCGGATTGCTCCCGAGAGAGTCTGCTGGGAGCACGCGAGCTTCCCAAGCCCTTGCAGTTTTTTTGCCACCAGGCAATGACTTTACCGACACGTTTCAGGCTCTGTAGAGTGGTCCTCATCCTGACACTGAAACCAAGACAAAACCAACTGCGCATGGACGTCTGCCTGGCCCACTGCTGCTGCCTGATGAGCTGCCCGTCGTCTGGGAAGGGGATGACGTCATTTCCAAGCAGGGACCAACCTTGGTGTAACCTTCAAAACATGGAAAAAATAATAATTTGGGGGTCACTATCACTGCTTTTCTGGTCTTAGGGGAAAATAATTTCATTGAATCTTTCTGTGAACATAAAAGAAAATACTTGGTTTGTGGTCTCTTGTAGAAGGTGAGCCCGAGTTCTTAGCACTGAGTGCAACAAAAACACCAGCCGGAGGTGGTTTTCGGTTCTGCATGCGGGCACCATCCAGCTGCCGACTCCTCACTCAGATCCAGCCCTAATGTGCGGACCTTTCTGTATTTTGCTTGTAAAGCAGCATTCCTAGGGGGTGCGGGGACTTGCTAGTTGCCTGTGTGCGTGGGGAATCAGGGCTGCGTCCCTAAAACACCTGGAGCCAGGAGAGCCCTGACCACGTACGTGGTGGGCAAGGGCAGCCGGGAGGAGAAGCGTGCTTTGCCGGTGCTCTGTTGGATACTGGGAGTGGCTGGTGCTGCGTGGACAGCCAGAGGACACAGGCCTCACGTTGTGGCGGCCCTGCCGGAAGCCTCCTTGCTCGTCTGCTGGCGGCGATGTGCAGCATACCCTGGGAGAACAGGCTTGAGGGGCTGTTTGGGCGGGGAGCAGGTGCCCAACAAAGGCAGGTTCCCTTTTCTTCTTGACCCACATGGCCTGTGAGGGTTCCTTGATGGGACAAGGCGCTGCTGCTGCCTTTTTCATGAGTAAGGACATCAAGCACGGAGAAATGAGGCTTGCCCGGGAGCATGTGAAGGGACACAGCATCCGGGCTACTCAGTCTTGCCAGTCCTGTGTTTGTGTGACATCCCAACCCAGATGGCCACCGTGGCTAGCGAGTACTTCCCGGAGCCGCAGGATGCTGCCTGTAACTGTTCTGTGTTCATGGCCATTGCTAAGATGTGGGGGAGCATAGGACCATCCAGGGGCCTCTTTCACATACAATCTTTTTTTAAATTAATTAATTTATTTGAAAGGTAGAGTTGAAGAGGGGCAGAGAGAGAGAGAAAGAGAGAGAGAGGGGTCTTCCATCTGCTTGTTCACTCCCCAGTTGGCTGCAATTGCTGAAGCTGGGCCAATCCAAAGCCAGGAGCCAGGAGCTTCCTCTAGGTCTCCCACGCAGGTGCAGGGGCCCAAGGAGCTAGGCTGTCTTCCACTGCTTTCCCAGGCCATACCAGAGAGCTGGATCAGAAGAGGAGCAGCCAGGACTTGAACCGGCGCCCATATGGGATGCTGGCACTGCAGGCGGCCCCCAGATACACTCTTAAACACTACTTTGATCATTACTCTTCTGTTAGGGGCTCCGTCTCCTTTTGATCCCAGGTAATCCTTGCACGCCGCTGCTAGACAACATCTAAACTGTCAGGTGCGTGAAAGGTGTCTCTGTGGCACTAGAACACTTGCTTGTGGTACCTTTAAAAGTAGACCTGCTATTGAAAAATCCTAGCTATCTTTCACTTTTTGGAAGTTCATCTTACCAGAAGCACTTTTAAAATGAATTCTGATTTTCTAAAATGGCAAGATACTTTATTTTTAAAATCTCGTTATTTTAACACTGCATTGTTAGGTGTGATTTCTGACATCCCAGCAAGGCAAAGCTGTAATCTCACCAGATGCCATTTAACTTATGGTGCATTTTGTCAGATCTTATTTTCTACAGTGTATGCAAGCTTAATATAGAGTCTGCAGCCCTGGAAACTGTTCGTGTTCAGGATTGCAAGATTATATCATCTGAGGTTGTGTGCAAATCCCAGGATAGAGATTTCAAATAAGAGAGTGTTAGAGTCTGAGTGTTCTGGTGATGGGCTTTTTAGCTCTGTCAGTAGATAGCCAACCCCAGAACCCCCGAGTCCTGGCGTCAATTCTCTCTGTTTCCTCCTGCCTCAGTTCATGCATCATGTATGAGGCCAATCCCTCCGTGCAGACCAGAGATGGAGATCTGGGTGGAGCCACGCCCGGGAATCCCGAGCAGCCTGTAGCCGTGTTGGCTGGTTGACCAGTAGTTCTTACGCAGGGTATAGGTTGTCACCCCTTGGGAAGCCTTTAGTGAATACCTGTGATGGGGCCCAGGGATTCCAGGTCTGTTGGTCAAGGCGTGAGTGTTTCTAGAAGTTCTCCATGAAAGGCCAGTGTGTGGCCAGGACCGAGGGCCACTGACAGGGAGGAGGGGCAGAGCTGAGTTTGCGGTGGCTTGGTTACCCTCATTCCTGACGCTCATGTTCCGGAAGAGAACGGACGTCTGTGCGCTGCCAGGACACGGCTGAGCGGTGTTGGAGATTCCTCAATGACAAGTCATAAAATGTGGTTGTTACTAACATGATGTGAGACATGTTCACAGGTTGAATTCCGAGTGGCGCCTTAAGATCCACATCTGTTTTCTTAGTCTTTGAAATGTTACCCAGAAATGAACGTCTTCCTATAGGTGTTAACAGAAATATGCTGTGTTCAAAGTATAAAAAATAAAATAAAACAGGTGCGCCATCTGTATATCCAGTGAGCACCACTAGGATGTCCACATGCTTAGAATGCTTGGAAGTAAATTATTTTCTATGTTGTCCGTGCACCTAGAGGGAGGCTTAATTCCATTACCGGGTTAGCCTAACTTTGGCACCAAGAGTCGTGTCCAAAGAGCCCAGCAGTGGGGGCGTTCTCACTGAGACACGCAGTGGGGCCTCGCCGCCTCCTGCTTAGGCCTATACTGGAACATGCCCCCGGATATCCCTGCTCCTGACTCCTGATCCCCCTACCTTGCTGAGTCTTCTCGGGACTCCTTCTCTGTGGGTCTGACCGCAGCTGCACCCTGCGGAGACTCGGCTCGGCTCTCTCCTCCGTGGAGTCTCCCCACAGCTGGCGTGTCCCTCCTACCCACGCGCCAGGCCTGTGGCACCGTCTGCTTCCCCGCCTGTGCCTCCTGCCGGGCTCTGCACCCCTTCGAGGTAGGGACCTTGTCTTTCCTCTCAGTCTCTACACCATTTGTAGCAAATGCACGATCTCAAGACTTTTCCACTTGTCACTTCGCGACTTGGCCCCCGATGGGCCAACTGGTTGGATTTGGGGGCAGAACTCTGGGCTTGTCTCGCCATGCCACAGCTTCCTAAAATTACTGCCGTGCTACCCCGTTTCTGATCTCCCCAAGCTGTTCCTGCAGGGGGCACAGAACGCTGGAGCAGGCCCTCATTGGAGGAGCTGGGTGTGTCTTGTGTGTGCTGTCCCCAAGGTCGTGACTTCTTAAGAAAGAAGGGAGCCCCGTGCCTGCTTCAGCGCTTGTCTTGGCACTGAGGGAGGGTCTCACAGCTCTGTGACCATGGGAGCAGCGTGTGTAACGCCGGACGCCAGTGCAGACACACGTCCTCCTCCCCGGGACCTGAAATGCCAGCCAGGGTGGTCCAAGGTGGACGCGACCCTTCGCCGAGCCTCCTGAAAGAGCGCAGGAGGCGGAGGTGCCTGCTGGGCCGACCCAGCCCTTGACCGTCCACCTCTTCTCTTTCTCAGAGTGCCGAGCAGATCGCCACTTTGTGCAGGGGCTTTGACGACGCCCAGACGGACAGCATGGAGGGCGCAAGGGAGAGTCAGGACCCGCCCCCGCGGCCGCTGGCCCGCCACCTCTCGGACGCCGACCGCCTTCGCAAAGTCATCCAGGAGCTCATGGACACGGAGAAGTCCTATGTGAAGGTGAGGGCGGTGCTGTCCTCCACTCACCTGCCACTCACGGGATACACTGCCGGGAAGGGAGGGGACGAGCAGCAAGGGTGCAAGAGCTGAGAAGAAGCTAAAAAAATTAGACTCTTGGCTCCTCTTGTTACCAAGGTAGCTCTCACTATGGTAACAGATGTTCTGGTTTGTCATGCGCAGTCTGTGCTGGCTTAGCGCAGGGGGAGAGCATTCTAGGTGAGGAGGTACTAGGGAGCAGGTGCAGGCGCCCCCAGGCCTTGCAGCAGGGGATCCCTGCGGAACATGGGGCCCACACGGCGTGTCTGTCAGCATGCAGGCACCATGGTAAAGGGGCAGTGACTGAGTAGCCTGAATGCCTGAAGAATTCAGTTATTTTATGTCCCAAGCCCCCAGTGAGTGGTTTGAGAAAAATTCCACGGAGAACACAGGAGCCCAGGAAGGCGGAGTTCCTATGCTTCGAGTGCTTGCTGAAGCTTTGGGGCGACGTCGACCTGCTGGGACGGCACGGCCCCGGGCTGGCGGCCGAGCACCCGGCTGTGCCCGGGCTGGTGGCTGAGCACCCGGCTGTGCCTCCGCCCCTGTCATGCTGTGTGGCCTTGGATGTTGCCTCTGATGCCCTGGTCCATGGGTTCTCTGCAGAGGTGCAGCCCTGCTGTGCTGAGCTCACAAGAGAGGCCTCAGCGCACCTGGCGGAGCTGGGCTGCTCCTTGTGTGGCCGCTGCTCCCTGCACGTTCCAGGGGCATTAGCACAAGCAGCCCAGGTGAGCTCAGAGCCCCAGGTTTTGGTCTCTTAGGGGATGAAGACATTAGAGCAATTGCAGTCTCCTCTCGCCTGCCATTACGTCTCGTCCCACATCCAACAATGAAGGAGACACCGGGAACTGCAGGCTACACTTTACAGTAACCCCGTGGAGCCACAGTGACCTTTGTGAGTGGCGCTGTGGGCTCTGGGGTTTCTCTGACACCTGCAGAGGTCCTGGGGTTCTCAGGAGCCTAGTCAAGGGCAGAGGTGAGAGCGGCACCTAAGTCCCTCTTTGTGATTTTTTAAAGATTTATTTGGAAGACAGATTTATCTTCCATCCACCGGTACACTCCCCATATGGCCACAACAGCCAGAGCTGGGTTGATCTGAAGCCAGGAGCTTCATCTGGGTCCCCCACATGGGTACAGTGGCCCAGGCACTTGGGCCATCTTCCGCTGCCTTCCCAGGCTTGTTAGCAGGGAGCTGGATCGGAAGTGGAGCAACCGGGACTTGAACCGGTGCCCAGATGGGATGCCGGCCCTGCAGGTGCCAGCACCCCCCTTTTTGTGATTCTTTGTGCTTACCCAAGATTCTTTTGGCACGGGTAGAGACGGATGCCTGGGTGAGGCACCGACCCCGCAGTGTCTGCCAGTGGCAGCTTGGCAGGGACCTGCTCTGCCTGCAGGGGGTCGTCCTGAGCAGCAGTGACCGGGGCCTGCCCACCGCCACTGTGCGAGCAGACAGCCAGCACCAGGTGCGGCCTCTGACTCACGGCCCCCTCACTGTTGTCGACACTGAACATGGAGTTTGCTTATTCTTTACTCTGATCTCATGTGCATCCCTGGATACGATCCAGTAACTCCCCACCTCTCCCTGCCCTGGGCTGTGGTAAGGGAGGGGAGGCCAGGACAGGCCCGGCCTTGTTCTCAGCCTAAAGGTTCCGGGGTCATGTTGGCCTTTACAGAGCTGTCTGGGTCTTTGCAAAATTTTCTTTGCGGCCGGCGCCGCGGCTCACTAGGCTAATCCTCCACCTAGCGGCGCCGGCACACCGGGTTCTAGTCCCGGTCGGGGCGCCGGATTCTGTCCCGGTTGCCTCTCTTCCAGGCCAGCCCTCTGCTGTGGCCAGGGAGTGCAGTGGAGGATGGCCCAGGTGCTTGGGCCCTGCACCCCATGGGAGACCAGGAAAAGCACCTGGCTCCTGGCTCCTGCCATCGGATCAGCACGGTGCGCTGGCCGCAGTGCGCCGGCCGCGGCGGCCATTAGAGGGTGAACCAACGGCAAAAGGAAGACCTTTCTCTCTGTCTCTCTCTTTCACTGTCCACTCTGCCTGTCAAAAAAAATTTTTTTTCTTTGCATGTATTTATTTGAAAGGCAAAGAGAGATCTCCCATTCTCTGGTTCACCCCCCCACCAATGCCCCCACAAAGGCTGAGGCTGGAACTCACTCTGGGTCTCCCACATGGACGGCAGGGACTCAACTACTTGAGCCCTTACCTGCTGCCTTCCTGGTGCCTGTGAGCAGGGTGCTAGGCTGAGCCAGGAAGCAAACCCAGGCCTTCCACTCTGGGGAGTGGGTCTGCCAGACACCTGCCCCGTGGGCCTTCGATTGCCCGCTTGTTAAGGATCTCAGTGTAGGGGACTTGGCCATAGCACTTGAGTACCCACAGTTCTTCAGAATGGAACATGAAAGAAAACTCTTCTCTGCCACGACATTATATCCTAGTCTCGGCTTCAATTTATTAAACCAGAAACCTTCTTTACTAATGGGGTTTGTGCTGTCTAGCCCCACCGTCTGTCCCGCTGCAGCCCAGTTTGGGGGAGACCCATGGACGGTTGCCATCGGAAGCAGTGTGACTGCACATCCTCGGATGTTTCTTTCTTGCGTGTGATACGGGACTTTGAAACGCTGCTAATGTGGCAGCCTCAACGTTGGGGCGAGCGCCCCGGTCTTGTGTGGTCCCTCTCAGCTCCAGGTCCGAGCTGTCGCTGTGCTCCTGGGAGTGTGGAGGAAGCCAGAACCTCTGGCCACACCTGGTCGGCCTGGGCTTCCCCTCAGGAAAGTGAGTGCTCCTACAGTGGTGCTCTCAAGAGAGCCTGTTCCTTGGCGGTGAGCTGCGTAACAGGTGCCCGAGCTGTAGGGAAAACATAGAAGGCGGCAGCCTGGCCAGTGCTGTGGCTCACTTGGCTATTCCTCCACCTGTGGCGCCGGCACCCCGGGTTCTAGCCCTGGTTGGGGCGCCAGGTACTAGTCTTAGCTGCTCCTCTTCCAGTCCAGCTCTCTGCTGTGGCCCGGGAGTGCAGTGGAGGATGGCCCAAGTGCTCGGGCCCTGCACCCGCATGGGAGACCAGGAGGAAGCACCCGGCTCCTGGCTTCGGATCAGCGCAGCGCGCCGGCTGCAGCAGCCATTTGGGGGTGAACCAATGGAAGGAATACCTTTCTCTCTGTCTCTCTCACTGTCTATAACTCTACCTGCGACAGTCCTCTAAGTGCGGTGAGCAGGAATGGCCACTTTAGGGTCAAGAATTCCAGTGACTTCATCCTTCTGAACAGGAGTGCTCGGAGTTCCCACGGGCGCTGCTGGAACCCCGTGGGCATCTGGGAGCCGTGGGTGTCAGCAAGACTTTCTCTTGTCTTCCAGGATCTGAGCTGCCTCTTTGAGTTGTACTTGGAGCCGCTTCAGAGTGAGACTTTTCTTACCCAAGACGAGGTGAGGACCGGCTTCCCTCTGTCCGCTGGCCCCGGGGTTGGTGTCCAGCAGCCCTCTGGCAGAGCTCCAGGGACGTCACCTCCAGCGACCCCCGAAGAACAGCCAAGGTCTAAGGGCCTCCAGTCTCGTGCCTGGCCTCTCCCAGAGCAGGGACGAGGCCTCCGGCATGGGGAGCGCAGTGGTTGCTAAGGCACCGGGGCGGCCATGTTCTTCCCGCAGTGGCTAAGGTTCAGCCCAAAAGTGCCTTTCAGTGTGAAATTTTAATGTTCGCTCACAACGACTGGTTCTTTTCTGCTGGCTTCCAGTTCCCCACTGCATTTCCCATCCATTTGAAAGTTACTTTAGAACTGAGGGCTGTAGGGGCTGGAGCTGTGTACGTCCCCACGTGGACACTATATGCCCCAGGGGCTGCGCTGGGCCTTCTGCCTGCCTCTGGGTGAGCGCCGTGGGCTTCGCCGCGGGCCGGAGCGTCGGCGTGGCGTCACCCTCACGGCTGACGGCCTCTCCCAATTCCGGTCTTTGTGTAGATGGAGTCCCTGTTCGGAAGTCTGCCGGAAATGCTGGAGTTTCAGAAAGTCTTTCTGGAAACTCTGGAAGACGGAATTGCAGCCTCGTCTGACTTTGACGTCCTGGAGACCCCTTCGCAGTTCAGGGCAAGTATTTTAGACTCGGGCTTGCCGCAGAGCTCACTGGGAATGGCACGGCATCCTCCCTCCACGGTCAAGGTGCATTTCACGCTTTCACGGCCAGTGGCAGAGGCGGCTGCGTTCCCCCCACTACACGCACGTGGCGGCGAGGAGCCTGGCAGCTCTGCTTTCGTGGGGCCGGCCTGGTTGTGGGCCACACACCAGCTCAGCACGCCACTTTGCTGGAGGAGCGCCAGGCCCGGGGCTGCAGCTGCCCCTGCTGCTCCGTGGTCCCACAGGACCGGGGGCAGATGGCGTGGGTCTCCGGTTGCTCTGAGCAAGCATTGGTGTGAATGCTGGTGACTGCGGGAGGCCCGAGGCAGTGGGAGAGGGGGCAGCAAGTGAGGAGACTGCATCTCCCGTCCCAAGCAGCAGAGTCGCCCTTACTGCTGCTCCGCAGAGCTGGGGCAGCCTGCCTGCTCAGCGCTGACTTTCTCGTCCGTCGGCGGCAAAGTGTGGTGATGGGCTGTTTGCCGCCGACTGTGAATGGAGCGTCCGGACTTACTCGCCTGGTGGCTTTTTGGCGCGCTGTGGTGTCTGCAAAGCCAGGCTGTGTCTGATTTCACTTTGCTCCCTCCCTTTCTAGAAGTTACTGTTCTCCCTCGGCGGCTCCTTCCTCTATTATGCGGACCACTTCAAACTCTACAGCGGATTCTGTGCTAACCATATTAAAGTGCAGAAGGTTCTAGAGCGAGGTGAGTCGCTCGTTACCTTTTAGAGCCGTTTTCATTAGCGGTTGAAAAAAGGCTAACTCTGCATTTAGCAAGTAAGTTGAGTGCCATTTTAATGGATTGTGCTGCATTCTTGACCTTGACAGTGACGGAAGTTACAGGGCAGGTTTTCTGCGTATTCGATTTATTGGCAGCAGTGAGCAGGTGTGCCTGACAGCGGAGTCGCCGCTTGGCCCTGTGTTTCTTTGCTGCTGAATGACATCTGGATTCTTTTCCCGCCACACTCCTTTCTGTAAACCCTGTAGCTGCCGTAAGCCGTGGATGGGGACAGGAAGCAATGCGCACCCTGTGTGTTTCTCCCGCTAACCTCTGAAGCCCAACCAGCCACACCGCTTCCATAGAACTGCCAGAGAACTAATTTCCATAGACTCTGCTAACGAAAGCGCCCTTTGTGGAACTGGGAAGGGCTCCCGTTTCCTGAAGGTTCTTCTTTCATGTTGTCTTCCTTCTGCACCATCATGGAGCCGTGTTATGGGCAGTGTCCACTGGGGCACCTTTGCCATTTAGTTTAAATCTGGGACTTCTTAGTATCCTGGAAGAAAAACCCTAGGTTTAAAGACTGGTGTCTTGGGGTGCTTCAGGTTCACAAGGCCCAACCCCGTGCATTGTCCCGAGTTGCTTCCAGCAGAGACCTGACCCCCTGCGTTTCCTCCCCGGACGCCCTCTCATTGCCAATCCATGCCGGTGGCTTGCTTCACTCCCCCAGCCATCAAGGTGAAGCCACCTCGCCTTCTGCACGGGCTGCCAGTCGCATCCCAGGTGCTGCCCATTCTGTCCTGGTCACCGGTCCCTCTTGCACACTGGCTGCACGACAGAGTCCTCATGGCTGGTTAACCAGCGCTCTTGGTGGAGTCCAAGGTGGCGGCTGGTGTAGCCACTGGCGCGCACACTAAGTGCACCTGGATTCCCGTGCATAGCCTTCACGGCACGTGCACACTCAACACAGCTGCTTCTCAGGGCCAAAGGGGGTCCCAGTGGCTGGTCCTGGTGGGAAGGCCTACGGCTCTGACCGGAGAAGCTTCAGTCTGCCTGGAGCTCTGGAGTGCGGCTGCAAGCTTACTGATTTAAGGGGACTTTCCCCACGGCTCCTCTCTTCTTGTTGCAAAAGTTCTCTATTTGAAAGGTAGAGACAGACACACCGAGGTCTCCCACCTGCTGGTTCACTCCACAAACACCTGCCACAGCTGGTGCTGGGCCAGGTTGAAGCCAGGAGACCGGAACTGAATTGGAGTCTCACGTGAGTCTCGTGGGTGGCAGGGACCCGAGTCTCTGAGCCCGGGGTCTGTGTTGTTAGCAGAAAGCTGGAACCTGGAGTGGAATTGGGACGCGGACCCAGACACCCCAGTATGGCACGTGGGTGTCCCGACTGGCCTCTGGTCACAATGCTGAAGCCTGCCCCTCAACTTACTTTATTATTTTTATTTTTATTTTTATTTTGACAGGCAGAGTGGACAGTGAGAGAGAGAGAGACAGAGAGAAAGGTCTTCCTTTGCCGTTGGTTCACCCTCCAATGGCTGCTGCGACTGGCGCGCTGCAGCCAGCGCACCGTGCTGATCCGAAGGCAGGAGCCAGGTGCTTCTCCTGGTCTCCCATGGGGTGCAGGGCCCAAGCACTTGGGTCATCCTCCACTGCACTCCCTGGCCACAGCAGAGAGCTGGCCAGGAAGAGGGGCAACCAGGACAGAATCCAGTGCCCCGACCGGGACTAGAACACAGTGTGCTGGCGCCGCAAGGTGGAGGATTAGCCTAGTGAGCTGCGGTGCCGGCCTCAACTTACTTTACAGGAATGCAGGGGCCGGCGCTGTGGCTCAGCAGGTTAAAGCCACAGCCTGCAGCGGTGCCATCTCTTATGGTCGCTGCTTGGAGTCTCGGCTGTTCCACTTCTGACCCAGCTCCCTGCTGACGTACCTGGGAAAGCTGTGGAAGATGGCCTGAATCTTTAGCTCTGCACCCATGTGGGAGACCTGGAAGCAGCTCCTGGATCCTGGCTTCGACCTGGCCCAGCCCTGGTTATTGCAGCCATTTGGGGAGTGAAGCAGCGAATGGAAGACCTCTCTGTCTCTCCTCTAACTCTACATCTTAAAAAATTAAAGGAAAACAGACACTGCTTTTCAAATAGCTCATATTAGAACGAGCAGCAGGCCACGCGAAGTGCTGTTTGTTTTATAACCCTGCTTTTGTGGCTTTGTGAATCTGAAACTCACCTCTGGCCACCTGTGCCAGCACTGTTCCTGGGGTACACGGGAGCTCACAGCCCTCCATGCTACTGTGGCTTCCGGGACCCGTGCTGCGGGACCACGTTAGGAGTCTAGAACTGGACGGTCTCGAACTCCATCCCAGGATCCACTGAGCAGAGTTCAACTCCCCCCACAGTGCTCCTCTAAGCACCCTCTGTCCACTGCTTGCAGCTAAAACCGACAAGGCCTTCAAGGCTTTCCTGGACGCCCGGAACCCCACCAAGCAGCACGCGTCCACGCTGGAGTCCTACCTCATCAAGCCGGTGCAGAGAGTGCTCAAGTACCCGCTGCTGCTCAAGGAGCTCGTGTCCCTGACGGACCACGAGAGCGAGGAGCACTACCACCTGACAGGTGAGAGGGCTCCCCCAGTGTCGGTCTTGGATACAGCTGCCCTTGTGGGAGGACCGCTGTGGCCACCCTTAGAGTCAGCACGGGGAGAAGCGGTCTCGTCGTAGGAGCCCCAAGCCACTCCATCTTCCTGTTTTAAAGGAAGGCACCGGAAGCTCACCTGAGTTCTCAGGCCTACCTGGTGGTGCTTCGGGACTGGAAATTGGGCGGCTTCTCCTAGTCCTGGTGAGCCGAGATGTTGGGTGAGGCGCCACCTTGTGGACATCTCTGAGTATAGCCGGCTCTGAAAGCAAGCGCCAAGCCCTCCCTCCCCACCTGCACTGGGTTTTAAAGTTGATGTGCTGGTATTTGTAACCTGGGAAACACCCAGCCCCAGGTATGCTCCGACAAAGCCCAAGGCCCTGCGGTTTCATAGGAAACGAAGCAGACTTTAGAGAGAGCTGAGCGATCTGCTCTCCACGTGTTGAAACTGGGTCCAGTTACGCCGTGTGTGCTAGAACTCCTGGGGAGAGACACAGGCTTCATTAAGAAAGGTTGCATGGGGAGTGTGTAAATCAAACTGGCCCTTCCCCAAGACAACATTTTGATATCATAGGCAACACAAAAGATTTTTTTTTAATATGTAAGTTATGTTCTACAAGTAAATGATGCAAACCAGGATTAGAATTCTAGTACAAGTGGCGAATTCATTTTGCATTGTGATGATGGGTAAAAGGGTTCCTTTAAAAAACTTCCTTCCAAACCTCCCTCTTGGTTGAACTAAAGTCCTGAATTGGGAGAAATTTTTTTTTTTTTTAAATACTGAATTTGGCAGTGACCTGACATTTTGCTTTTGGACTTTGACAAAATCACTGGTCCATTGTCAGCTCTCTCAGAGATGTAGAGGGTCAGCAGGTGGAGTGCACACAACTGCCCGGGCAGTGAGTGGTTCTCAGAGGCCGAAGCCTCGAGCATCGTAAACTAAGGGTCCCGAGGCTCAAGGGGAGATGCCCAGGCTGCCCATTCCTGGGTGGGGTTCTGGCTTTGCTCCTTGTCTTCTCCGGAACGCTGGCCGCCCGATCTGCCCCTCCACGGTCTCCTCCGTGGAATGGGTCTAGTGTGGGATGAGATGCTGCACGCCAGGTAGACAGGGCCGAGTCAGTGCGAGCTTCTGCCCTTCGTCCGCTTCACTTCAAAGAGAATTTCCCGGGGGAGGCGACCCGACTGCTCGCCGGCGCAGTCACCAATGACAGCGTGCTGTGGTGAGGGACGCCGCCGGCCGGCAGAAGGAGTCTCGGGTCCTGGCTTGAATCCTGAGCTCTTGGTGGCTGTCGGGTGGGATTTAAAACAAACTGGAAGCTGACGGCGGTTCCCGTTCTGCAGAAGCGCTGAAGGCAATGGAGAAAGTAGCCAGCCACATCAATGAGATGCAGAAGATCTACGAGGACTACGGCGCCGTGTTCGACCAGCTCGTGGCCGAGCAGAGCGGCCCGGAGAAGGAGGTGTGTGAGGCGCGGGGGGCCTGGGGCCTGGGGGTCCTCCCAGACCATGCCACCGGCTTAGAATGAGGAGAAAATGCCTCGAGTGCTCTTCTTGACGCCAGCAAACCTGAGTACAGTGAATCAGACCAATTTAGATGAAGCGATGTAAAAGTCTGAAAAATTTTTTTAAAAAATTTATAGATTAGGGAGAAAGCTTCTGTCTGCTGGTTCACTCCCAAATGCACATAATGGCTGGGACTGTCAGGAATGCAATGCTGGCCTGCCATGTCGACGGCAGGAGCCCAGTTACTCGAACCTCCCAGGGTCTGCGGTAGCAGGAAGCTGGGGTCAGGAGCTTGGAGCACCCGGGTTCAGTGCCCGGCCCTAAGTGGCAGCCGGTGTCTGACCCACGAGGCTAAATGCCTGCCTGTTCTCCTGCTGTGGCATCATGGGCTGATGACTCCCTGCTTACTTATAAGTCCAAGTGCAGTTGACAGTCTCTCTGTTTGATGGCTAAATGTGGAATTTAAAAGCATCAGATTCTACAAGAGGCCAGCATTGTGGCACAGTGGGTTAAGCCGCCACCTGCGATGCTGGCATCCCATATAGGCGCCAGTTCAAGTCCCGGCTGCTCCTCTTCTGAGCCAGGTCCCTGCTAATGCGCCTGGGAAAGCAGTGGAAGATGGCTCAAGTGTTGGGGCCCCTGCACCCATGTGGGAGACCCGGATGAATCTGGTTCCTTGCTTTAGCCTGCTAGCCTTGGCTGGTGTGGCTATTTGGGGAGTGAACCAGCAGATGGAAGGTCTATCTTTGCCACTCTGGCTTTCAAAGAAATAGATCTTTAAACAATGTGGCCAGAACAAGAAGCCACTTTTAAGCAACATTGTTTAAGTAGAAAATGCCAAGAACAGAAAAGAACCGAGTTTGATTTTTATTCTGATGGTCTCCCTGCGGGCACTGTCCTATGAGCACACCCATTAGAGCCTGTGGTGAGCATTCATTAAGGGTCCTTTGCATGAATGAGGACACTGGGTAGAGGGCACGTTAGGGAAGTGGAGCAGCTCCCTGCTGTGTGCCTTACCAACATGCGTGTGCCTCGCCTACATACATGTACAACAAAGCAACATGCCTTGTTTATGTTACCGATCACACGGAATGTGCTTTCATTTTGGCAATGACCACATAGGAGCTTACTGCAAAGAGTATGTAGGCAACGGAATTAAAAGGGAAGTTTATTTTGGTATAAAAAAGTTTTGCAACCTATGTGTAATTGTTTTCATGACACGTATTTCCCACAAACGGGTCGGAGAGCCCTGGACTGCATGGCTCTCAGAATTTGTTGGCGTGAAAATAAACCTCCCTTTGACCTGCATTTTCCACGAGCTTCCTGGAGCACCTGTCTGTCCCGGGAAGCAGCCTGCTCTTGACTTCCTGCCTGCCTTGCAGGTAACAGAGCTCTCGATGGGGGAACTTCTGATGCACTCCACGGTGGCCTGGCTGAACCCGTTTCTGTCGCTCGGAAAAGCGAGAAAGGACCTTGAGCTCACGGTATTTGGTCAGTATCCATCCCAGAGAGGGTGAACGTGAAATAGCGTGGCCGTAATGAACTTCAGTAACCCCCGATTTCCAGAGGGAGTTGGAAGACTGGCGCAGAGCCCGCCCTGACTAGTTCAAGCCCCATGACTCCCCACGTTCATTATCTCCTTCTGCCATCTGCGGCTGGGCCGGGCCTGGTGTTGCAGGAACAGATCTCCCGAGGCTATTTTGAAATCAGCTAACTTAATGGTTTGCCGGATTTCAAAGTCTCCTGATTTGCACTGAGGGCTGGCAGAGCAAGCGTTGTCACCCAGGTGAACACCCGTCCTCAGCTTTTCAATAAAGCAAAAGGAGGAGAGTGCCAAGAACGACTTCAGAGAGTAGCTTTCAATCAGCAGGTGCTTCGGCAGGTCGCGGTCGGAACGGAGGGAGGGGCCGTTCTTTCACTCAGGCGGCGGCACTGTGGGGGCTTAGATTCGTACATGGGAAGAGCTTTGTTCTAATAAGACATTCAGCCCTGGGTTCACTTTGCCAGAGTTTGTATAAAATACAGACTTTTCTTTTTCTTTTCCTTTCTTTAGTTTTTAAGAGAGCTGTCATACTGGTCTACAAAGAAAACTGCAAACTGAAAAAGAAGTTGGTAAGACAAGAATTATTTCAAGCTTCCTTTCTGTGCCTCTGGGCTCCCGTGACGTGGAGCCGCCAATCCTGCCGGGACCCTGGGGGCCCTGAGCTAGTTCAGCCCTTGGTGTTTCTGGGCGTGTTGCTATAGCTGTAAACATGGCCACACACACAGTCCGCTTCTCTCTGCAATGGCCCATGTTTTGTTCGATGCACACAGAAGTCTGTGTTAACTGGGGTTTGTTCCAAGATGCCTTTAACCTTGACTCACCCTTACCCCCCCCCCCCCAAAAAAAAAAAAAAACCCACCATGCAAACCTGTGGGCAGTCACTACCGCTGGCCATGCAGATGGGACGTGGGGATGGGAGGCCTGGCTGGCATTCTCGCTCAGAGACGGGGGACTCTGGCCGGCTCGCCCTGTCCCCACAGCCTCCACCCGTGAGGGCGCTGTGCCAGGAACCCAGTGCACAGACCCCAGGAGCCTCCTGGCGACTGTGCACACGTCCGCCCTGGGCGAGAGCACCCTCCAACGCTGCTCCTGGTGGGCGTTCCCCTTGCAGCCCTCCAACTCGCGGCCTGCACACAGCTCTGCTGACCTGGACCCGTTCAAGTTCCGCTGGTTGATCCCGATTTCTGCGCTCCAAGTCAGACTGGGGAACCCGGCAGGTAAGCGCCCGGTGCGGTCGATGCTGGGGAGTGAGGAGGAGGAGGAAAGGGCCGTGGGTGGGACCTCGCATACATGGGAAGGGAGGCCAGCTGCCTCTCCTTACCGGCTCTGGGAGAAACTGCAGCCCCCAGATGGCTCCCTTCGTGGTTTCCTTGTCTTTACTACCAGTAGTTTTCCACCATTTTCCTTTCTGGCTAACACCCTTGATGGCCTAAAAACTATTAAAGAAACAAAGCTCCAGAAATTAAAATTCTTGCAAATTTAGATATCCCAGGAAGTTCTTGAAGATTAGGTGCTACTGCAAGTGATACAGATTTTTTGATGCTGTAAAATGCCCAGCGATCCTTCCAGGACACTCACGTTTCGGGGACAGACTGGGCCGAGGGGTCAAGGCAGGCAGTGATGCTCCAGGCCCCTGTTTAATTTCTGCCCGATGTTTCCAGAACAGGACTGCACCGGGGCCAGCCGTGGGAGTGGCCCAGGCGGCTGTCACTCAGCAGCTCCTTGTGAAAATCATGCGGCGGAGGGGCCACAGACCATGGTGGGAGTCGGGGTGGGGGACGCGCAGCTTGGTAGACTTCGTGGGTGTTCTTAACCACAGCGTCTCTGCCAACGCCATAGACGCTTGTTTCCGTTCTCTTCATGCAGGGACAGAAAATAATTCCATCTGGGAGCTGATCCACACCAAGTCAGAAGTAGAGGGACGGCCGGAAACCATCTTTCAGTTGTGCTGCAGGTACTGCCGACGCCCAAACCACCGCAGGTCAGGGTGGGTGCCCTCCTGGATTTTGATGTCGGGGTCAGCCCCGCCCCCAAAGGCAGCTGAGACTCCAGTGCAGGACATACACAGGAGCTTCAAGTTCACGGAAAATGGAATTCAGAGCCGCTGGTGCAAAATTTGTTTTGAAATTCAGGCATTTTCATAATGAATTTCCTTTATGTGCATGGATTTCAAGATTTTTTTTTTTCTGAACCAAAATGTTTAATTCCATTTTCTATGAACTCTTTGAAGTCCCCTCGTGTGCCTCTGGGAGCGAGGCAAGGAGGCGCCCCCAGGCCCAGGCCCAGGCCGGGGCAGCAGGGGACGCCAGCGCTGACGCCGTGCGCTCTCCCCACAGCGACAGCGAGAGCAAAGCCAGCGTGGTGAAGGTGATCCGCTCCATCCTGAGGGAGAACTTCCGGCGCCACATGAAGTGCGAGCCGCCGCAGGAGAGGGCGAGCAAGGACCGACCGGTGCCGCTCAAGAACCGAGTTCCTGTCTCAGCCCGATTAGGTGAGGCCCTTGCTGGCACGGCGACTCTCCCAGGCAGCCGGGTGAACGCGCCGTGACCTTCCTGGGACAGCTGTGGCTCTCCCGGGGCGGGGTGGGGAGGGGGGTCTCGAGTCCCTTCAGGAGCTAAACGTGCTGCTTGTGTAGACAAGCAGATCGTGAGGTGAGGTATGACCCAACACGAGCACCCCCCCACGGCCCCGACTCCCGCCGTGCCTCCGCCGCCGCTCTGTGCCCGAGGCCAGGACCTGGCTCCCGTCCTTGGAGATGAATCCAGCGCCCCGTTGCTGCCCAGGCAGAAGTCCGCAGGTCCTCACGCCGCATCACGCCGCTCTCGAAGCTTTCTCCTCCTCCCCCACATCTCAGCTTCACTTTCCAGAACGTTCTATCTGGTTATCACCTTTGTTCTTGCGTTTAGTCTTAGAGAACCTGTAGCTTCTCTCTTTCTTTTCTGGGTCAGTTTTTCCCTCTTCAGATTTACTATTTTCTATTGTTAAAGTAAGCTGTGGCCATCAACAATAGAACACTGTTTTGTGTGGAAACGTTCGCCTTCGGCCTCACACACACACACCCTCAAGTGCTGAACTACTTATCCATCCTACGGGATCCCTGCAGGTTGGATATTCCAGCAGACAGTGCTCGTAGGCGGGAAAGAGCGACCATCTTTTAGGTGAGCAGTTAGGAAATACACAGGGTGAGCGGCGCAGCGCAGGTCATCAACGAGAGAACTCTAGTGAGAGAAGGAACCGGGTATACACGCAGTTAACGCCTCTGGACCCACGGGCAGCACAAGAACCCTGCCCCCAGGACGGCTTGCTCTGGTAACCCAAGGGGCTGCATTCGCAGCTTACACTTCCAGAGAGGCCCGAGTAAGATCTAGCCGTGATGGCAGCGCCTGCACGTGTCGGCTTCACTGCCAGGGTCACGGTCACTCCAGTCGAAGGGAGAACACGAGGGAGGGCGAGCAGGACATGAAGTCAGATCCCGCAAGGCGCGGGCCCCAGCTCGTGGAGCCGGGTCTGCCTCCTAAGGGCCACGCGTTTTCTCCCTGCAGCTTCCTCCAGGTCCCTGCGAGTCCTCAAGAACTCCTCCAGCAGCGAGTGGCCCGGGGAGCCGGGCAAGGGCCACTCGCTCGACTCGGACGAGGGCAGCCTGAGCAGCAGCACCACGCAGAGCAGCGGCTGCCCCGCGGCCGACGGCAGGCAGGACTCCAAGGGCGGCTCGCCCGGGAAGGGCCTGGCCGATTTCTCGGACGGCCTGGTCAAAGAGAGCGACATCCTGAGTGACGAGGACGACGGCCCCCCGCCTCCGAGAGGGGGCAGCCCCACCAGGGACATCGAGATCGAGTTCCAGAGGCTGAGGATCTCGGAGGAGGCGGAGACACAGCCCGGGGGCGGCGAGCAGCAGCCCAAACTGGTCCGGGGCCACTTCTGCCCCATTAAGCGGAAGGCCAACAGCACCAAGAGGGACAGAGGCGCTCTGGCCAAGGCGCAGACGCGCCACCAGTCCCTGGACTGCCAATCGGAAAACTCCAGCCTCGACCTCAACTCTGTCCTGGAGCGGGAATTCAGCGTCCAGAGCTTAACGTCGGTGGTGAGCGAGGAGTGCTTCTACCAGACAGAGAGCCACGGGAAATCCTAGCAGCGCTGCGGCCGGAGCCGGGGCGGGCTGCTCGCTTAGACTGGTCACGACTGGGTTTCGTGCAGCACGCGTTTCCCGTGAGACAGCTGTAAAGACTTAAGTTATTTTAATTTATTGTGGTTCGGGAAACCAGACGAGACTGATCGGAATCTGTAAATTGCTTACTTTTACATCTCTTTTGAGCAGGCATCAAAATGACTTAGAATCCTTAAAATTAGATTACATTCTTAATAATTCTAATTTATGTGGGGGGGAAGTAAGACTGGAGAGGTTGGATTAAAAGCTTTTAAAAGGGACATTTTTTTCGACTCCTCTGGGCATTTTCTCCGGGCTGCCAGTGTCCGCTTTATTTAAAGAATACCTAAGTTATTCTGATGTGGTGTAGGGGTGCAGTGTGCAAATACTTCATGTTTATACCGAACACGTCCTATCTATGCAGTGTATATATATATGTATTAAAGCCTGTACTGTATCTTATTTGATATTTATTTTCTCTACCAAGCTGTACAGTAAAAGAATACACGCCATCTGCTCACTGGTCTCTTGACTGTCCTGGGGAGACGTGGAGGACATCCTGGGGACGGCAGTGGCTAAGGTCCCCGCTCTCCCCACGGTCCTCCTCGTGGCGACACTTGTGTTTACTTTGCCTGAGCTCTTCTCGGAAATCGTAAGCAAAGAGCTGCGGGTCGCCGTCACACATGCGTCTGTAGATGTCACAGAGGCTCCTGAAGTGTGCGATGGACAGCTGGCGGGGCCGGAGGGTGGGCTCGACGTCGGCCAGGTGGAGCAGCCTCTCCGTGCTTTCCAAGCGCTGGGCTTCGGGGAACAGCATTCTGTGGGAAAGAGAAAAATATCAGAGCCTCACCCACACTCTCCCGAGCCTGAGGCTGCCCGGATGAGTGACACCTGGAGGGGCTGCAGAGGGGCCGGGGGCACAGGGACTGACGTGGAAGAACCTGGGCTATGACACAGGCAAGGGAGGCAGGCCACCAGGGTGGGCAGATGCAACCTCACCTGCAGGGTATTTCCACGGTGGGGAAACTGCTCCTGCAACCAGGTGGATACGCGGTGAAGGAGCAGTCTTGTAGCAAGGTAAGTTGAAGTTGGGCCCGTACTGTGATATGAAAGTTCTCTGATTCCTGGAGTGACAAATCTCAAGTTCTGATTTTCTATCATTTGGATTTATTCTTTATCCCAAAAATGAGTTCTTTGCAAAGCTTGAAAGGAACAGATTTTTGATGCATCTTTTAAACTGACTCCAAGTGTGTATTTTAAACTGCATCTAACCCAATGAACTGTATCAAGACCAACTGCATGAAATCATTGCAAGGTTAAGCCCAGATTCGCTTTTCTTCTCCCAACCCTCGGAAACCGCAGGGTTCACCTCCTGGGGCTCGGCCGGTGTCATGGCCCAGGGAGGGAGTGTTTTCCTTACAGGCTGAGGATGCTCTCAGCAACAGCTGATGCGCCCCACGTTTTCAGGGGAGGTGGCCCGGGTCTTTCTGTTCATGGCGAGGAGGGGGAGGTCCCATGATGGCTAACAGCTAGGGCTGAGTTATAGTGCAGAATGACTGACATGTACTGGCCAGCCAGAGTGGGTCACAGTATTGTGCCCCTGTCCACTGTGTGCCTGAAATTACTGGGCTGTCACTGCGCTGGGAGGTTGTCTTGGAAACACAGGGGCAGCTCTAGGCTCAGACCAATTCCAGGATTTCCAAAAGCAGGACGTCCCTTTTGTGAGTCACGGGTCGGAACTATCCATGCAGTTTTATGAGTCACACTTAGTCACCAAAAGGCAAGCTGAGGTCCTCCAGGACAGGCTCTGTGGATAGCCACGGCTTCGGGATGCCAGTACTTCAAGTAATGGCATGCACAACACAAGGGCGCTTCGGGGCCGGCGCTGGCAAAGCAGGCACAGCTGCCACCCCGACACCAGCATCCCACATGAGCACCAGTTTGTCCTGGCTGCTCCACGTCTGATCCAGGTCCCTGCTAAAGCGGTCAAGATGGCACAAGTACTTCGGCCCCTGCACCCCCGCGGGAGACCCAGATGAAGCTTCTGACTTCAGTGTGGCTCAGCCCTGGCCCTTGTGGCCACCTGAGGAGTGGACCAGTGAGTAGAAGATCAAAATCTCTCTCCCCCCACCAACCTCCAATGCTGACTTTCAAATAAATAAAATCTTTAAGAGAAAAAAATATAAATAAAAGGGCTTTTCACCTCACCAGGAAAAACAGTTAAAGTGGAGTCATGTAAAACTGAGGAGAATCTGTGAAGCTGAGCCCCTTTAAACAGCCAAATACTGATGGAAATTGTAAAAGAAATACACACTTCCCGGCCTCAACTGTGCATGACTGAACATGTTCCTGACTCTCAGTGCATAGTGCAGTGTCACCGAGGTGCCCTGTGCTCTGCCGTCCTGATGGTGCCTGCATGGGGTGCTGGGCATGATGGAGCAGAGTGGCTCCCAGAGATCAGGCACGCATGGCTGTGTGCTCCCCAGCCCTGAAGTGTGTCAATGAAGAGAGTGGAAACACAGCTTGTTAAGAACTCACCTCTGAGTCCTGATGCCAAGTTAGGAATTGGAGACTCGGCCAATGCTAGCTATGCGAGTGCAAGTTTTAGGTTGAACTTAGATAGAAGCGACCTAACCTGGGGCTGGCACCGTGGTGTAGCAGGTTAAACCTCCACCTGAAGGGCCGGGCAGTCCATATGTGTGCTGGTTCAAGTCCCAGCTGCTCCAACTTCCGATACAGCTCCCTGCTAATGCGCCTGGGAAAGCAGTGAGGATGGCCCAGGTACGTGGGCCTCTGCACCCACGTGGGAGACCCAGGAGAAGCTCCTGGCTTCCCATCAGCCCAGCTCTGGCCGTTGTGGCCATTTGGGGAGTGAACCAGCAGATGGAAGACCTCTGTCTCTCCCTCTCAAATAAATAAATCTCACCAAAAACAAAACAAAACAAAAAGACAAGACCGAATCTATAGATGGCATCTGAGGTGAAATTAAGGCTTTCCTCCTTCCAAATCTGTTCATCACAGTGTTTGAACTAAGAGCAATATTCACAGAAAATCAAAGTTCTTACTCTTTAAACGTGATTGAGGGGGTTGGATGTTTAGCCTAGTGGTTAAGGTGCCACTTAACGTGCCTGCACCCCTCACTGGGCCCTGGCTTTAATTACCATCTCTAGTTTCCTGCCAATGCAGACCCTGGGAGGCAATGGGAATGGCTCAAGTAGTTGGGTCCCTGCCGCCCACGTGAGAAGCTCCTTGTTCCCAGTCTCGGCCCAGCTCGGTCCTAGCCATTGCAGGCGTCTGGGGAGCCAACCAGCACATGGGAGCTCTGTCTGCCTCTCAAATAGACACATTTTTAGGAAGTGACTGAGGATTTTATAAATATGGCTACTGAGCGGAAGAGAAGGCATTCTTACCCAAGCCCTCGATAGCAGTACTTTCTCCGGAACTGGAATGCGTTCTGCACGACCTTCTCCACCAGCTTGAACGGCTGCTCGATCCTGGGCTGTATCAAGGGGGTGAAGCGCACCACTCCCACGTCCACCTGCGTTGTAAGCAGACAGAGATCATTTTGCGGCGTAATGCAACTAAACCACTTCACTTCACAAACCCTGGGCCAGGCCGGCGAGAGAGTGGTTCCCATGAACAAAGCTTTGCACACGCTTCACCTCCCTCCTCTGCAGGCCTACGTGGGATGCTACGTGGGGGCTGCGTCAGGTGGACCGACAGCCACTGCACCTGTGCTTGCTCCCCAGTTAATTTTGCAAGGCAGTTTCACGACGGCTTTTTCAAGTCAGCAGGCAGGCAACAGCATTAGGCGACTCCCGTGACCTCTGAGTGAGTAGGAGGCTAAGCTGCAGCAGCAGTGCTGAGGAGACAGGCAGGCCCCAGGGACCACTCAGCACCCAGCTCCCCAAAAGGATTTATCGGCTCCACTGGACTCACAAGCAGGGTCTCACGGCCACGGAACTCTGGCTGCAGCTTTAAATTCCGCAGGAGGCATGGCCAGGATGGAAACAGAAAACAGACCGCCAAGAATGTCACCATTGCGAGGGTTTAAGTGGCTACCAGCTGTTGAAATTCTTTAATTATCAGAAGACAAAACTTTTCAGGCGTGACTGATAAGATTTGTACCTGCCAGAGTCCAGACAGGGACTCGTGATTCTCAAGGACACACTCACAACAGCAAAGGCAAAACGCTGTGGGCAGAGACAGGCAGAAGAGGCGGCAAGCAGGCAACGCGCACACAAGGGTGCCCGGCGGAGAGCAGGCCTGGGAAACGGGAGTCTCTGGAGGACTGACAGGCATCTGTCTCCAGGGGCTCTCAGAACAGCACGCAGACTCTCTACGGGGTAAAGTACAGCGATTTGGGGGGCGTGGGCTGTACTGTTGCTTTTCAAGAGGAATTCTCATTGTAGAACTCCATACAGGTCACAAGGCTTCTCCTTCTGCTGGGCGGACTTGGCTCGTGGCTCCCTAGGTCCCCAACAATGAGGATGGCAGAGTGGTGGTGGTCACCTGTACATGATGTGTGGCTTTGTGGACTGGAAAACGAGAATGAGCAAGGATGTGCTTGGCCCCAGGTGGGCTGAACAGGGGGCCCTGCGGTGCCACACCTGGCCACCAGCTGACCCACCAGACCTTCCCTGTCTCCTTGAACAATCACCAAGCCTGTCCCCAAGGTGCCAGACAAGCTACAGCTGCGCCTCCGGGATGCAGCTTTGATGGCAGGGGTGGCATGGGCTGGCGCATGCCCAGCGCTCCACATGGGGGGGCCTTCCCACACCCACGACGCCCACTATATCTCAGCTCCAGACCGTTCCAGCAAAGATGACACAGGGCAGCGTCATTCTGAATGGTGGTGACTTCACACAATGCAAAGTGTTCTTCATGAAGTTTACCAAGTGTTTTAGTGACAAGTACTTCTCATAGAACTTCAAGTACTCTGGTCAAAAGGCCTAGGACTCTCCTTAGATCTGAACAGATCCCACCACAGAGCAGGGTCCAGAGGCCACGAAGGGGTCTGTGCTCTCAGAGAAGGATGGGGGGGGGGGGGACGATGGGAAGGGGCGGGGTGTGAGCTGGGGTAGGTATGCGAGGGCAGAGACCTGCAGCAAGGATGGGGGAAGCACCAGCTTTTCCCCGGATGCAAAGAGCAGACGAGCTGCACATGGGAGAGCGTGAGAAGCAGCCTGGGGGCACCATCGTAACTTTGTGTCCAGGACCCCTCCCACAAGCAATGACACACCCACCTCCCCTCCCCTCCCCTTGATGTGGGACAGAGACGTGAGCCCAGCTGGCCTGCGAGTGCTCTAGAGCAATCTCTGGACTCTGCCTCACCTCGGCGCTCCGCAACCACCCGAGAGGGCTCAGCGGCATTCCTGTGTCACCTCCTGCCCCCTGGGACCCAACCTCCCCCAGCGCTTCCAATCCAGCTCTCCTCAGTTCCAGAGTCGGCGCTAGCAGGAACCCTCCTGCAGTAACCAAGGGAGACCCAACAGCCTGCTGGCCTCTCGAGAAAAAAAGGTCTTCTAGCAAAATCTGGGATAAAATTTAACCCCTATGCAGCCCTAAATGAGTAAGACCAAATGCACAAATGCAGGGATAGACGCATTCTCCTTCCAGTTCAGCTGCCACTTCAACACTCCTAGACTCAAAATCTAGCCTCCTGCTTGCTGGATTTCATTCTTCTGAGATACACCTGATGCTTGAAAATACAGTCAGTGGCAAGTCCTTCACAAATATAGCAGCACCCCATGAAACCATGGCAATCCTGTACGTTCTGAATACGATGCTGATGCCCAGGTAGGTACCTTGGCTGGCATTAAATCCAAACTAAACGAAAATTCCCACTCACAATCGCAGTCACTAGTTAGTGGAGGGCTCTGAGTGATGTTGCCTGCCCCTGGGTTGGGGGGCCTCCTACCCCTTACCCAAAAGCCCTTCTCAGAATTACTGAGGGGTGGGTCCCATTTTCTTGAGAACCACAGGAAGGCTGCTTGGTAACTATGGTAACAGATAAAAAATGCCTTTTACTTATAATTGAATGCTTCTTTAAAATTACAACCATTTTCTCCTTTCTTAAGTCTATTAAAGGAGTTGGTTGAAAAAAGGAATTTAGTATCACAACACCTGGATGCACTTAAAATGACAGTTTAATGTTGCAGCCTCTTTCTAAACTCAGTTTATAAGCATAACAAAATGACCTACTAAATTTCAAATTAAAGGATTTATAATGAATTTAAATATTTGCCTCTCTAACTCATTATAAGGTCAGTGTGGAACCAAGCTGCGGCTGTGTTCTCATGTTGGCAGCTGAACAGATGAACTATGTTCAAGGCCAGGGCTATCGGCTCACAGCAGCACTTGGAACTCAGAAGGGAAGGGCCTAAGCAGCTTTCACATTCAATCTCAAGTCTTAGTACAACTCGGCTCTCTGATCAACACGACACATGGGCACTATGAGGAATAAACGGCCCATTGCTTGATTTCTAATACCCAGAGCCAAGCCACTACCACGGGAGAAGACACAGAAAGGGCGCTGGCCACCGTCTAAGGAAGCGTCTTCACTCAGCTCTCCATGGTGGGCAAGAGCAGTAGAAGAGAAGCAATGAGGAAGAGCTGTAACCCGGAGAGCTCGAGAGGGCTGGGGAGGAGAGGGAGACCCCACAGAACACCCAGGACTTCCAGTACCGGTACCAGTAAGGTTCAAGGGTGTCACACACAGCCTTGTAGCTCTGTGTAATCTGGCTGATTACGGAGGTTGCTGGCAGCGCCCAGTAGAACACAGGATGCTGGGTTGGGAGAGTCATGGTTACTGTCAGGGGAAATGGCAGTCAGCATGAGCAGCTTGGCGACGCTTGGTTCTCCCAGCCACCAGTATCTACATCGTCTTTAGGTACTACCCGAGCTAATCACAGTCCCTGTCAGAATGCCCAACTTCCCCAGCCAAGGACAACAGGATTGGCGAGGCATGGAAGCCAACCATACGATAATTATGCATCTTGTAGAAACACACAGTATCAAGAGACATAGATCATATTTCTTAGAACCGGTTGATCTTTCCTGTAATCCACATCCTAAACCCAATTTAAGGACAGAATTTCAGCTGTAAACCCTTAAAACTTTAATAGTATTCCAGGTATTTCAAACCAATATATAAAAGACTATATTAATACATAAATATCTTTCTTTAAAAAAATCTGCAATTTGTGTTAAAAACAGATTTCAAAGAATGATGCAGTATTGACTCTCAGGGCATAAGCAGTAGGGAGATGGAAGGCTGAGAGAACAGAAAAACTCACTTAAGGTCATGCCAAGAAACAAGACTAAGAGGTACCCGAGTGAGGGAGGAGACGAGAACGCTGACGTCACTGTGAAGATTCCCTGTGGAAGAGTGTGAGTGTGTGTGAGTGCGCACGCGGTGATCATAGCGATGAGTAATAAGACAAGTCAGTGCTTCTTTGCCCCGCGAGATGAAATAACTTCAGGGTTGTGAATGCTTGACTGATCCTACCTAAAGCAGACGAGCAACACAGTGCCGGAGGAGGGTCTACTGCTAGTTAACTGGAGTCCGGGATCGTCACCGGAGACCCACGCCCGTGCTGTCGTGAAGCAGCATCTGCAGGCCCTGCTCTGGCTGGGACGTATGGCAGGGCCGTATGGGAGCAGCCCTAGTGTGGCAGAAGCCTGGGCACTCACAGGGTCTGGCTTCCTGGGGAGCAGGTGCAGGGACCCTGCAGCACATCAGAATGAACCATTTCTCAGTGATGGTTTCAACCTAAACAAAGTCAGTTCCAAGACGGTGGAATAGGGAGTAAGCCTACTGCTCCAGCCTGGGAGAAGACAGTTTAAAAACAAAGTGGACACAGTGCAATCTCAGGGAAGAGTCAGAAAGAAAGCTGCACAGGAAACTCAACCCAAATTAGAGGGACACCGTGCATCTGTCCGGTGGAGCGTGTGGACGTGCGCAACTCAGGACCACAGCAGCCGAGAGCCTCAGCACCAGATTCGGAGGTGAGGGGAGACCAGACTGCAGCAGCCCAAGCCACTGGCGATAAAGCTGCAGGAAGAGCCTGGCTGGGTCTGGCTTGGAGCTCTGCGGGGGACAGTGTACCTGACAACATAGGGAAGAAAAGGAGGCACGTTTCCCTCTCCCCAGCCACCTGGCACCGGTGTTCTTTGGCTGAGAGGAGAGGCCTGAGTAAGGCTGGGAGAACTGACAGGGAGCTGAGTGCTTGTGAGTGTGGGAGCCTTGCATGCTGGGACTGTGGAAACACTGTGGTTATGAAGGAGGGCGCAGGGTATGCCTCAGTCTGTGGGCAGTCACTGTAGGCCGCTCCACACACGTGGGGCTCCCTGACCCCTGGCAAGGGTCGCTGTTGCAGGATCCATGCTCACACTGAGAACTGCACGGATCCTTTGTGTGGTCCTTGTGGCAGCGCAGATGAATACTGTACCCACCGGGGCTAGCGCCCAGGCACTGGTCTCTTTACAGGAGAGGAGCTGAATGTGAGACTATGCCAGAGCAGACCAAAACTCCCTCTGATAATAAAAACAAAACAACAACAACAACAACAAAAAAAAAAAACCAAAAAAACCAAAACAAAACAAAACAAAAAAACAAACCTTAACACGTCCAACTTGGGTGTCACTTTGGACATCCCCCTCCCCTGGAGCACTGAACAGAGTCCCTTGGCCACAGCCAGCCAACACCTCTGGATACTCACGGAAAGAACACACACTCTACTAAGCCAGAGAGGCATAGTCCACAGATAAAAGCCATTACAGGGGAGGGGAAAAAACCAACCAATATCTCCACAAATGCCTAAAAATAAATACAGCAATTCAAGAAACAACAACACTAAAGGAACACAACACTTCAATACTAGAATGTGCAGATGGAGAGATTGAAGGAAAGCTGGAAATGGAATTCAAAGAACTGGTCATAGGATTACTTAGAAGTAATCAGAAGCAAATCC